CCTCCCCGCACACCTTCGCTTCCGCAGATTGTGATGTGACTGATTCGATCTCTATAATGCGTTAGCAAATTGGCTGTAATACATACAATGCTGGATGGAAAGTAACAAAATCTTAGCTGACGCGGCTGTAATACTCTATTAAATAGCTCCTTTGATGTGGGGAGAGGCACAAACATGTTTGAGTTTGTGAAGTTTTATGCTCAAATGTTCAGTTGCTTGATTTTTAAATTAAAAAAATATTTTAGGTACCCATATACTGTATTTTTGGCTCTTACATTTTAAAGGAGGAGTGTAAACCTTGCATATGCAAATATGCATCTTGTGAGAGTTACAAACCACTTCAGTTACTGTTTTTACCCTCCTAGTATATATACCTGGTTATGGTTTGCATCTTTCAGATTTGTGGTTTTCATTTCATAGGGAGCAGGAAAAGAGTTCTCAGTAATAATCTTAATATTTTAATAGGTTTACAAATACATGGGAACAGTAGCACTTAATATGAGAAACACTAGGAAAAAGACATATGAAATATAAAAGAACTACAGAAGTGTCTTAACTGTATGTTCATTTTTCTACTTAAAACCTAAAGTTCAGTAACATAATAAAAAATAACATTTTTATTAATACTAACCTACAACAGCAAATTAAAACGTTATCTAGTAATACAGAGATAGTTAAGGTATTAAATCATGTATTAAATATGTGATATACAGCACTTGATTTGAAGCCCCTTTTTTCAGACAAGTGGAGTTAGAAATCCTCTGAAAACTGGTAATAAAATTTACGTATATATTTTTTAAACAGTTGTGTATAATAGCACTACACTTGTTTTCTTCTTGGTTTCCTTGCTGCAATTGAAACAAACCCAAAACCAGTTGTCTGGTCAACTTTTTTAGCTCCTTTTTAGCATGCTGTAAGTCCAGCTGTTTCTTTCTCCCTGTCAATTTGAAGCGACAATAAAGTATAGTTCATAAATGTTCAAATTTAAAGGCTTACCTTCCTTATATTGCAGTGCTTCAAAATGGCTTCTAATATCATCTGCAGTATTTCTCATGACTGGGTTTTACTAAGTGAGCTGCATGTTCTGGCTTGGTGTGCTTGGTATATTTAGTTGTATTCACTAAACTTCCTTTTTTAAATCATTCCTTCACTTCTTTTTTTAAATCTTATCTTATCTTCTGACCACTCCCCCAGCGTTAACTTCTTGTGCAAGTACAGTTTCAGGGTCTGCTTTGCTCATGTACTCCGTATTGTGGTGTTTGGGTTTTGGACCTTTCTTTCTGTGCCC